CCCTGCTCTGAGATTCCGAAAAGAATCAGGGGATATTCCTCATAATAAAATTCTGATACTACCATTTCAAATGGTCTAAAGTGAGAGAGGAGGTATAATAGGAGGGGAAGAAAAAATAAAATACGGAGGTAACAAAGAGATTTAGTATTTTCAGACAGGAAACTGTCTGCTGAGATCAGATATATTTTTAAATGATGTGTGTAAAATGTGAAGGCTGATCTAGAAAAGTAAGCAAGAATACAATACAATTTGTTAAGAATATATAATATATATATATGGGCTGGGGATTTACTTCAGTGGTATAAGCGCCTGCCTGGCAAACATAAGGTTATGAGTTCAATCCTTGGTATCAAAAAAAATATGTATATATAAGAAAAGAGTCAGAAAGACTAAATCAGAAGGCAGTTAACATTTAAGTGATGGGGAGGACTATTTGGATCAAAGCAAGAAAACACAGGATCCCTGCATGGCTGTGATGACATTATGTCCATGATAGAGGAGACGAGGGGGAGCTTTTTATTTCACTGTTTCAACTAGGAAGGGTAAGACAAAGTCTGGTGAGAAGAAATTGAAGGGAAAGTTCACTTAGGAGGAAATGCTAGCTGTCTAAACAAGTTCAAGCACTGCCTGGAAATACAAACCAGAGTGTTAGTAGAATTTTCAGATGCAATTGCCTTAATCTTTAAAAAAAGATGGAAAGTTAGAGAAACTCTGAGACCTACTCCACAGTTTTATGTTTTGAAAGTACAAAAAGTCTTTGAACTATAGACATGAGGGCCTGCTGATTTTTCAGTTCAAAAATTCTAGGATTTACATTCGAATTCAGTTTGAATGCAAGCTTGCTAAATTAAATCATGCTTGTGACATAGTTTGAAGAGGGTTGAGACCAGGAATCTTAAAATTTTAAACAATCTAATTCAAATTCAGTAACTCATAACCTTTGTGAATCAGATAAAAGTGATGTACCCTTTTGAAGTACAGTAGTTAGAACTGCAGTATAACAAAATATCCCAAAACTTAGTGGCTTAAAACAAACTATTGGTTGAGTATTTCTAATGCAAAAGCTCACACTCCAAAATGTTCTAACGTTTGAATTTTTTTGAGCACTGACAGGATGCCACCAGTTGAAAATTCTACATTTGAGTTTATGTGATGGGTCACAGTTCAAGGCAGACACACTAAAAATATTGTATGAAACTACTTCAGACACATATACAATATGTATGTGAAATATAAATGAATTTTGCATTTAGACTTGAGTTCTACTCCTAGAATATGAAGGCATATGCAAATATTCCAAAATTTAAACAAATCTGAAATCAGAAGCATATCTAAGAGTGACTCAACCTATCCTCACAGTCTGCAATTTGTGCTGGGCCCAACTAGGTGATTCTTCTGCTGGCTTTTCTAGGATCCCTTAGGTAGCCTCAGACCCTGATGCTTAGCTGAGGTGGAATGATCCAGATAATCTCAGTCACGTGTTTCATGGTTGTTGCTGGTTATCAGCTGGGCCAACAGGAGAGCTGAGGTTCGTTTACTTGATGCTATCAGCATTCCAAGAAAATGAAAGCAAGAATTTCAGGGCTTCTTGAGGACTCGAATCATATGACAACATTTATATCTCATTCTTTTGGTCAGAGGGTTTCACAAGAGTAGCCCAGCTCAGTGAGCAAGGAAATAGACAAACTTCCAGTTGGGAAATACTCTAAAGATTTGTGATCACATTTAATTCACCACATAACTTCTCAGAAAATGCTTGTATACTAATACACGTGAAGCATTTTAATTTCAGGGGACTCATGGATTGTTGACCTCAAGCTAGGAAAGTGAAAAGCCTCAGATCTAACTATGCATATGTTTAAATGAGACTACTAAAGCTCAAAGAGATGTAAGATTTGCATAAAGTCAACAAATATTTATTTAAAATAGGGATGGCCATCTAAGCATAACCTTCTGCCCACTCTTTTGGGGATACTGATATTGGGGGTACGGGGTCTTCACACTAAGCTATATTGCCCCTACTCCTCCCCCTACTTTTTAAAAATTTTGTGACAAGTCTCATGAAGTTGCCCAGGCTGGGTTTGAAGTTGCAATCCTCATTGCCTCATTGTTTTCCAAAGTGCGGAGATTATAAACATTTGTCACCACATCTGGCATTACCCACAACTCTCAGTGTCATGTCATTTCCACTATTTATAAATAAAATTCATCTTATTATTGCAGGAAGTGAATTTCAACAATTTAAAAGTCACAAGTCAACTACCAGATCAGGATAATTTAAATCAAATGTATGCAATAAAATATAAATACTTTTTAATTAACATACTCTCCACATATATCCAGATAGTAAAGTAGTCTGATTAAAATTAAAGATGAGGAATAAGTTATTTTATTAACTTGCAAATTGGTACAGTTGTGGACAGATTCCTAGGTTTAGTTATCTCATTTTACTCACAAGTATTTTCTATTTTTCAATTATTTGCCTGGAAAAATTGATTGCAACAAATAATTTATGATTGGCAGAGTTGTTCTCACTTTTAAAGCCACCTATTTAAAAAATCATACATTGATAAGAATAAGAAATCAGTTTATACTGATTTTGACTCACATAAAAACTAAGTAACATTACCCCTTCAAGTTTTTATTATTGTCTCATAAAGTACAGATAACTAAAGGAAAATTGATGTAATTTAGTTTAGATTATTTTTTTTTTTTTGCCAGTGGATGGCTTTTCATGAGAGAACTGCAGGTTTTGGTTACTTTAAGAAATTATTAGTATGATATATATATATATATATATATGTATATACACACACACATACACACACACACACACACACACACACACACACACACACACACCTGGGATTGAATTCACTACCTTGCATTTGCCAAATAGGCACTTACACCACTGGGCTAAAACACCTGCCTAGTATGTTAATTTTTTTGTATGATTTGGTAAATTGATCTAGTATAAACAGATAGAGAAGAAATAGGTGTGTGTGTGTGTGTGTGTGTGTGTGTGTGTGTTTGCTGGGTATTAAAAGCCTATTTCTTTGTTTGGTTTGTTTGTTTAATTTGTACCAGGGATTGAACTCAGGATCTTGCACTTCCTAGGCAGGTGCTTATGCCACTAAGCTACATCCCCAACAGTAATTAGTTCTGAAACATCTAATCTTCAGACATCATAAAGTCAAGGGTTTTTTAAAATAGTTTTTTTTATTAGTGCTGTGCTTTTGGGGGTTTGACCTCAGATCTCACACATGACAGGCAAATGCTGAAAGGTAAAGTTTTAAAAAACCCCTTTATCATAAAAATGTTCAAACACGCAGAGATGAAACACACAAACACACATGCAGCAATAAAAAAGAGCAAAAGAAACACATGTAACCCAGCAACTTTTATCCATAATTGTTAACATTTTACTATCTTTATCTACCTGTATTTTTCTTGTTAGATCATTTTAAAGTCTATCACCCTCTATGCACTCTGCCTGCATCTCCAAAGAACAAGGACACTAGTTTACATAATCAGGTTTCAATATAGTACACTAATAAATTAATAAAAATTACCTAATATTATGTGATCTAGTCCATACTAAAATTATTACCTTAATTTCATAGATTTTTTTTCCAAATTAGAATCCAATCAAGGAACATGTGTTAATCACTGTTAAGTCTTTAGTCTCTTTCTGTCTAGAATAACAAACCCCCCGTCTCACCACTTTTCCCATGTTACTGATTTTTTAAAGAAACCAGGCTTGCAAGCTAGTTGTCTTATCCCCTATTCTGAATTTGTGTGTGTGTGTGTGTGTGTGTGTGTGTGTGTGTGTGGTGTGTGTATGTGATAGAATCTTGCAACATAGTCCAGTTTGGCCTTGAACTTGCTATGTAGCCTACATAGGGCTTGAACTTGATATCTTATCTCAGCCTGGCATGTGCCACTATGCCCAGCTTTGGATTTTTAAAATAATTTTTCTACATGGTGGTTTAACTTGTTCCTCTATCTCATATAGCATGTATGTTGGAAGTCTTGGTTGGGTTCAGATTACTCATTTTGAAGAGTGCTTTCTGTATAAGGCTGCTTACTCTATAATACGTGACCTCAGTCTATTTGTTAGACTCTGAGTGATGCTCCTAGAGTGCACGGACTTGTGCACGGATGACTTGGTGGCCAGCTGGTGGCACTGTTGGAAAGTGGTAGAAACTTCAGGAGGTGGGGCTTAGCTGGAGGAAACAGGTCCCTAGGAGTGTGCCCTGGAAAGTACACTGAGACGATGGGTCCTTCCTCGTTCCCTCTGGCTACTATCAGGTGAGAAGTTTGCTTCATTACTCACTTCTGGCATGATGTTCTGTTGACTATAGGTCCAGAGCTATAAAGCCAAGTGGCCATGGACTGAAACCTCTGAAACCATGACTCAAAATAAACGATTTCTCCTTTAAATTGAATTATCTCATGTATTTTGTTATAGTAGCAGAGATGAAATTACTACAGATGTGAAGTTTGATTCTTCAGTTAAGGTGATGCAAACACAGCTGCTTTCATCAATTTGCTATCATCAGTGGGGTGATAAATTTGGTGCTATGCAAATATGCAGTTACCTAAAGTGAGGAGTTTTTTCTTCAATTTTTGAAAACATAACTGGGTTAGGTGTTTGGTGCATCCCTGTGATCTCAGCACTCTGAGAGCTGAGGCAAGAAGATCATGAGTTTTGGCAACTTAGTGATTCAGCAAAGCTGTGTCTCAAAAATTTTAAAAATTAAAAGGGCTGGGGCTATAGCTCAATGTGAAGGCCCTGAGTTCAATTCTCAGTACTGCCAAAGTTATAATAATAATAATAATAATAGTGATAATAAACTAAAAAATATAACTGATTGGCTGGTGCCGGGAACTGATCTCAGGGCCTCATGCATGCTAAGCATGCATTCTAATGTCATGAGCATTATCTCTATCACTGAACTGTACTGAGATATAAAATTTTGATAAAGAATTATATTCAGTTTTTCAAGACTTTCAAGCTGGATATGGTGACACATGCCTGCAGTCTCAGGAAGCCGAGGTGGAGGATTGCCTTGAGTTTGAGGCCAGCCTGGGCTACATAAGTGAGTTCAAGGCCAGCCTTCACTACATAGCAAGACCCTGTCTCAAAAAAACAACAAAAATAAAAACTTCTTCAAGATGGCATATATTCAGTCTAAAATCATGGAAACAAGCCAGTATCTACATTTGACCTTTAGGTAAGTATTTGTTTCAGCTCATACCTTTGTAATTTTGAGTACCACTCTGGTTTACGTAGTTATACACTCCTGACTAGTGAACTGAACGTTGGTTGACCTCATGAGCATTTTTTTTAATCCGTGCATTTTGATTTTATGATTATTACAGGCTGAGTTCAGAAACGAAGCAACATAGAGTGCCGCAGAATGGAACCAGATCAGGGAAGCACTCTGTGTGGTAAGAAACCAGACCTTGATGCAGGTAGTTGGCTACCAGACACTTGCTGTGAAATAATTATGTTGTACATTGAAACTGCAGTGCCCTCTCTTGAAACAATGTTTTTGTTTCCTTTTCTAACCAAGTCAAAGGCAAGAGTGAGAACATACCAGTCACCAAACATGGAGGTATCAAGCCTATTTAGGAAAAGAAATCATGCTAAAGTCTGTGTCTATTCGTTTTATTTCTTTATTTATTGCCTCACCCCATCTGTGATTCATTTGCCTTTCCTCATTCTCCATAATGGCTCCTGCAAAAGTATGAATCTTGAAGCATACAACATGGCTCTCACCCACTTCAAACATTGTTTAACATCTCATTTATTATTTGTACTGTGGTCTCACTTAAAAGCCAGTCTTATCGAGCTTACAGAGCACATACTTTTAATTCCCAGGGTGAAGAGGGAGGAGTAAAAAAGAACAAGAACAAACAAGCTAAACCAGGATATAGTCCCCGACGGAAATGCGAGGAAAACAAGAAAATTCAGAAGTCTTATAAACAGATAAAGTCTCTAGCTGCTAGAAGATTGGAGACTACCCAAACCTTGGTTTACCAGAGTACAGAAAAGTGATGAAGACCAGGACTAGTATTTTTTTTTTCCAGCAAGAGGTCAGTTACTTAAGGACCACATTCCCAGGGTAATACGGATTTATGTGAATAGTCCAGGGAACATGTATCTGTAGTAGCATATGCAAAATCAAGTGATGAGATTCTATACCAGCCACCAATTACACAAGATTATATTTAGAACTTGAAATTAACACTGGGGTAACTGTATTAACTAGATGTGAATGAATACAATCTATATTAAATAGGAACTACGTTTTCCCAATTAGATTACATTTTTAGGTACTAAAATCCTAGGTGCACAGAGGAGCCAAACCCTGTTAAAACCCAATTGGTTTTGATGAGTACATGAACCTTGCGTTAGACGATACAAAAGAAATTCATTCTAAAACAACTGGGTCGGATTATACTGAAAGAAGATAATATTACCCTGCTATAAAGTGTCTCCAACTAGAAATGAATTAAGACAGCAGTGAAGTGAGGAAATGGAGATTATGATAATATGTTTAAAAAGGCAAGCAATTAAGTGGTTTGCCCTGGGAGTATTTGTAAAACGTTTGTTCATATTGTTTTGACTACCCTTATGTTTTTACTTGAGGCCAATAAATGTAAGGTTGTTTTTATTAAAAAAATAAAGACAAACAAAAATAACACCATATGCTGAAATATCTCATGCCAGTAGCACATTTATATTTATTCAATCCACTTTCCTTTCTACACTTACAGCTAGAAAATCATCATGTGGGCTGTGCGGCTTTGAAAGAAAAGACCTTTCCAGTTCTTCACAGGTTGTGTGCTTTACTGATGCCCTCCACCCCAAAACATTTTGGGAATGACAGAAGACAACCTATCTCACAGAAAATAGAAGACAAGAGGGAAATTTTCTTGTTACTGGTAGGGATGGATAGTTTTTCACTTTTTCTAAGAAAGTTCTACATAACCTTTAGAAGAAGCTCCAAGCCAGGCGTGGTGGTGTGTGCTGGTAATCTCAGGATTTGGGAGACTGAGGCAAGAGGATTACATTTAACCTTGGATGGGAAAGTTTAGCATAAATCTGGGTTCAATTTTTTAAAATTAAAAAAAAAGTTGTTTTAAGCACAGCACTAGAAGTGTATATTATGGTTTCTATCTAGACTGTCCCATGCACTCCTAGGTAGGGCTTTGGGCATTACTGGATCATGAGTGTGCAGGACTGGATCACAGGTATGAGTAACTGGATTAGTCCATTGATTGGTTTAGCACAGTTCTGGGTGTGGATGATGGGAAGACGCACTCTGTGTGGGTGGCATCAACCAGTGTACTTTTAGCCTGAATGGAATAAAAAGGGAAATAAAGGAAGCTTGGGGCTTTCTGCCTGCCCTGCCATGGACTACTTCTCCTCCACCCTGCCAGGCTGCCTTGGAACCAGCTGACTACGGACAGAAACCTCTATGAACTGTGAGTACAATAAGCCTTTCCTCCTTTTACATGAGGAAGATGAGTATTTTGTTCCAGCAATGAGAAAGTAACTAAGACATAAATATAGCTCAATGCAAAGGTCCTGCGTTCAATTTCCAAAACCATTTCTCCTTCTCCCCACACAAACACAAAGCTCAAATTTTAACATCCAGCTGTTTTGGTCAATTAATTCCTCATCAATCTGTTTTTCAGCAAGATTTCTTCATTCTAGAAACTTCAGTGTGACATGATTCATGAGATAAGAAACGTAACAGACATTGAACCACAGTTTTCATCCAAAGGTAGCTTGACTGGAAGAGGCAAAGAGACAGTTTCCTAAGATGCCACTTTTTAATGTCCCATCTGGACAGACTTCTCTTACATGCAATATTGCGACTTTCAACTTAACATTCTGAAGGATTAGGCAGCCAGTTCCTCTCCTCTGTTCCAGGTAAAATAGCCCACAGGAAGCACATCCACTGGTGCTCACTGGAGTTGCTAATGATGAGAATTCTCAGACAAAGGGTGTGAGTGACCTCATACAAGATGAAAAATTACCACAGACTACTATAGAGGTCTGTAGTGTCTGGGTAGCCTCTGGAAAATTGGAAGAAATGTAACGATGGCTTTTTGTGTCAAACCAGAGACTCAGTGGGCAAGACAGTAAACTTCATGATACAATTAAAAATCTATTTAAGCTTTCTTTCAGTCTGTTTAGGTACTTTTCTTGTCTGTAATGTCACACGTGAATTCTGGGGTGGCTCACACAGAACCACGGCACTGGGGGGAGCTCGGCTGTTTCTGCATTATAACTCCATTTGGTGGACACTGCATTGCCCATCAACACGGGCTGTTCTGGTCACAAATTCAATCCTGTGATGTTCCCTTCAGTTCCTCTTTTTGTCACTTCCCTACTATTCTTGGGCACACAGGGATTTTTCTGCTTTTCTACCTACTGGGGCCTAAGATTTTGTGATGCTAAGACTTCAATAACCAAGACCTAATGCATAGCCGAATTTTCCCCCTTAAGAATCTCTCCTGTTCTCGAGGTGTACTCCAGAAAATTAGGTCCAAGTGCCTCCCCCTCCCCCTCTCCCTTCTGGCTGTTGTGAATGATTCTGCTGTGAACGTGGGCCCTGTTCAAGTTTTTACCTTCAATTCTTTTGTATCTATACCCAAGAGTAAAATTGGCGGGTCCTATGGTAATTGTATGCTTATTTGCTGTGCTAGTGTTTCATCATTATGACAAAATCTTTGAGAAAATCAATTTAAAGGAAGAAAAATGATTTCAGAGGTTTTAGTTCACAGTTACATATCTTGGTATTTTTTGGGTCTCTAAGAAGGCATAACATCGTGGAAGACAAAAGCTACTTACCTCATGGCACCCAGGAGAGGGAAAGGTGGGGTGGGGCACTGAGAGAGAAAGAACCAAGAAACTAAGAATGGACTGGGGATAAAACATACCTTCAGAGTCATGCCCTGAGGACCTACTCCCTCACCCGGGCTCTGCCTGCTGAAGTTTCCACTGTCTCCCAATGGCGCCACCAGCTGGGGATGAAGCCTTCAGCACGTGAGCCTTCAGGGAACATTTCAGATCCAAACTACCGTGGCTGTACTGCTTTTCACAGCCTTTCAGCTTCGATTCCCCCAGGAATGCAGAGATTCCACTGCCTCTCTATCTTTGCCCACCAGTGAGCTTGCTGTGCAGGACTGTTTCACTCTTTGCAGGAATTTAGCGTCCCTGGCCTCCCTGGCCCCTGCCACTGTCTGCAGGTGATATGGTAACATTTCCCAGTTGTTCTGCTACACGCCTCACCCTCCCACACATCGTCATGTGTCCCCTACAGACTCCATCCCCTCCCCTGGCTCTTCCTAATCTTTAAGGATTGTTTCTATAAACTCAAAATCCTATAAGAAAATCTTTATAAACTCAGAATTGTTAAAGAAAATCTGATCTCTCTCCTGTTGTCATATCCCTTTTTTGAATCACTATACCAGAAACGGCCTGGTTGAATAGAATCAAGTGGGCGGTAAGGGAAGGGTAGAGGGAGAAGGAGAGGAGAGGAGAGGAGAGGAGAGGAGAGGAGAGGAGAGGAGAGGAGAGGGAAGGGGAGAGGACAGGGGAAGGGAGGGGAGGGGAAGGGAGGGGAGGGGAGAGGGGAGAAATAAGTGCAGTGATGAACATAAGTCCTGCCTGGAATATTACACTACGCTAGTAATTTGTCTTTCACTGATTGCCACTTGTCACATCTCTGACTTTTCATGACTTTAGGTAACTCCAGTGGGAAACACAGAAGTTTGGTTAAATGATCATTAAGTGTCATCTTTTTTTTCAAATTTTATTTTGAAAGTATACAACAGAACAAGTCAGAATAAAGCCAACTAAGATCGTACAGTGAAATTGGTACAGAACTTCACAGCAGGTTACCGGGATAACAGTAATAGGTATCACAGTATATTTTGTTATCTTTATAATAGTTGTTCTTTCAATCACGTTTATCTAAATGAGATGAAATATAGAACACTATAGAACTTATCAAAACAGAATATTGAATAGAGCAGTACCATTAATTAGAAAAGAGCAAAACAGTAATAAAAATATTTGCCTTCAAAGAAATGGTAGAAGAAAGTCCCCCTTATTTTCTATGGTCAATCTGCCAGGAGATGCTCAGATTTCTGGTTCCCACTTGCTAATGGGCAGGGTGGAAAGGAGAAGGATGATAGGGGAAGTGGGATATTTGACTCTAGGCCATGTAGCAGTAGGTTCACTATTGCTAAGCAGGGAGGCAGGATGGTCATTTGTTTTCACAGCGTCCTCAGTTCCAACATGGCGTGGATCTCAGGAGACTCTGCTGGTTCTCCCCCTGGAAGGACTGCAGTCTGCCACCCTGCCTCCGCTTACCAGGGAGGGGAGGTCTAAGTGTCATCTTTTTTAAAACAGTGTGACTGTGATCCCTTTAGTATATACAGTGTATAATTAAAACAACAGTGCAATTGTGGTTACTAATCACTTAATTACAAGAATTCACATACAATTTGGAGGCATCAAGTCCTCCAAAGGTGTACATTTTTAAGTCTTTTCCCACTTCATTTATATTTATGTATCATTTCACTTTTTTTTTTTTTTGTACCAGAAATCAAAGTCAGGATCTTGTGCTTGTCAGGCAGGTGCTGTGCTGCTGAGCTATGTCCCTAGCCTTCTTTTAACTTTTCATAAGACTCTCATGTTCAAATCATGCACTTCCCCAAATGGTTCAGGGCCGAGGGGGGAGTGATTACTAACCACTTTCTGAACGTTTTTTTGTTTTTTGTTTTTTGTTTTTTTTTTGTCTTTTTCATTTTTATCAGTACCAGGGATCAAACTCACGACTGCCTACTTGCGAGGCAGGCGCTTATGCGGCTGAGCTAAATCCCCAGCCCCTACTAACCACTTTCTAACCAAGTGATGCAAACCCTATGAATCTGCCTCCTCAACCACAGACCTCTAGATTTACATGGGGCTTCAGTTTCTGATTAAATAATGCTTACATTAATTTTTTTTCTGACAGTCTCACTACGTAGTTGAGGCTGGCCTTAAACTCATTGTAAGCCTTCTGCCTCAGTTTCCCAAGTGCAAGGGTTACAGGTGTGCACCACCATGCCTGGATTTAAAATAATTTTTTTCTTAACAGAAAAATAAAGATGAAATCAAAAGGTGCCTTCTGATTGGTTAGAACAATGGCAGTCATGTCTCTTCCCATTTCTATGTTGGGTGAATCTTAACAGTAGGTAGACAGCTTAAAAGATTATAACCTGGCAGAAGGCATCACATGGGACGAGAATTGGAGAGTAGGACAACTCAGGCCTCTGTTCCTCTTCTTATAAATCCATCATGAGACCCCATCCAAGTGACCCCATCTAACCCTAAATATCTCCAGTATCTCTCAATAACCCTACCTCCCAATCCTAACATACAAATTTGAGGATTAAGTTTCCAACACACTTTCAGGAGACACATACAAATCATAGTCCCTGTCTCCAAACGTTCTACAGCCACCATACTTGGATTTATAGTAGAAATGCAATTCTTTGCATGTCCGTTTATCAGCAGTCATTTAGTTATACAATTGAATCTCAGCTGGTGTGATGGTTAATTTAAATGTGTCGGCTTGACTGGTCACAGGGTTCCCAAACACTGGATGTGACATCGTTCTGGGTGTGGCTGTGAGGGTCTTTCTGGAGCAGCTCCTGCTGAGCTAGTAGAGTGGGTAAAGACTGTAGGTGGGCCTCAGCCGGTCCCCTGAAGGCCCTGCTAGAGCAAAAACACTGCCTCATCCTCCAGTAAGAGGCAATTCCTCCTGCTTTGGGGCTGGGGTATCAGGTCTCCTCAGCTCAAACAAAAACATCTGCTCTTTTCAGGTATTGAGCCTGCTGCTTCGTGAGCTGTCCTGGCTTTGAAACTCAGACTAACAACATCTGCTCTCCTGACTGAGGATCTTGGGACTTCTCAGCCTCCATCATCGCATGGGCCAATTCCTAATAAGTAAATCCATTTCCATATTGGTTCTTTTTCTCCAGAGAACTCTAACTAATACACCTGGTGAAAGGAAACCTAATGTTGTCGAGTTTAACTATGAAATATCACAAAGCTTCATGTATTTGTAAAAGTAATCCTGCTACAGTTGAGGTATTGATGATATAGCTGATTAAAGGAATTAACTTACTGAAAAGTAAAAGGCACAAAAATACCACCTGCCTGTGATAAATTTTCACCCATAGCCACATAGTAAATACTGAATTTTGTGTTTCTTTTTAAAGCATAGAATCTCCCATGATACAGATACTGACTACCAGCCTTCAGGTCTGTGCACCAGTTAAAGGAGAAACTAGTCAAGAAAGGGGAGAAAGCCAGATAATAAGCGGTCAGCATGATTCTTGCTTTCAAAACTCATTTCCCCCCTATTAACTTCAGGATTTGGTCCTCTGATGTGGCTGGATCTGCTCACAGACCACCAGAGTGTTCATTTGACCAGGAAATTTAACATAAGAACTAGTTTCCCTAAACATTTCTTTTACTCTGAAATGATTATTTTAAAATTTTTTATTGGATTAAATGCTTATTTAAACCAGGCATGCTAGCTCACACCTGTAATCCCAGCACTTGGGAGACTGATGCAGGGGGATCTTTTCAAGTTCAAGGCCAGCCTGGTATCACAGGGAACCCTGTGATAAAGTGACCTATGCAACAGCCTGAACTGCATAGGGAGAACCTGTCTCAAAAACAAAACAATTGCTTATTTAAAGATGATACTGGAGGAGGTGGGGAGGTTGGTGAGTGACCTAAGGATCTAGGAGTAGTGGATTTAAAAAATTTGGTGTGAGCAGAATTACCAAGTTTCTTTTAATTAAAAAATGATATTTTCCATGTACACTTCTTTCTGTTTTCTCATTATTATTATTATTATTATTATTATTATTATTATTATTTTGGTAGGACCTCATGCTGTCAAGGCAGGTGCCCCGCCACTGTGCTAAATCCCAGGCTCTTATACATTTTTCTAAGTACTTAATTTTTACAGTCAAAAATTAATGGAACTTTCTTATTTCATCTTAACTCATATGACTTGATCACTAGGGAAAATACATTTAAAGCCTTTTGTTCACAAGGTATTTTTAAAAATGTATCCTAGAATCTATTGATATTTCATGAGACATTAATTTTAGCCACCTTTTGATACTGAATTGTGGACATATCTGATTTCTAAAAACTATTCAATAAAATTATATTCCAGTGTAAATAAGATGATTGTACTTCTAAAAATTCCTACAAGGTTAAAAAATAACAAATTAAGGTCCTTAGGTTAGATAATTTCATTGAGCCGTAACTATATTAAAAAGAAATAGAGAGAAAAGTAATTTGGCTTTTTTAATGTTATATAAAACAAAAACTTAGTTTACTAAACAAATGTCCTTACAGAGTCCATTTGAAACAAAAAATGGTAAATCTATTTTGGGCTTCATTATTTAATTTGTTTCTATGGGAGGATAATTTGTTTTTTCACAGTCATTATGATCATAAGCTCAATGAAAGACTATTCAGCAAATCCATATGACTGAACACCAGGCTGCCTGTGCGCTGATCTCAGCTATTTAGATTCTAAGCTACATGAAGGAGAGATAATGCTTCCTTAATCTGAGATCCCTCAACCCCCATCTGACTTGCCTGAAGGGTTGCATGTAACAGGGACCCAAGTGAAAGTTTCTGTACCATTTAAAAGACTTGTTTCCTTCTGTTCTTTTTAACATCTTATGCTATCTAGTAAACATATTTTGACATGATTACCAGTGATACCTGAAAGCAAATTAAAAAACCCAAAAATTCAGGGAGAGAAAGAGACAGGAATCAGGCAGACAACTACCATGACCTGTGCCCTGTCCACAGCTATTTCTGTCTGAGTTCTCTAACCTGAGCTAGGGATGCGCTGGTTCCCAGCAGAAGGGAGAGGTCTCTGGCATCCTCTCTCCCTGGAGAGCATGGTGTGTGCGCACACATTCGGAGCCTGAGTGGCTCTGAGGCAGAGGTCTGTGGTAGTATGTGCCTCTCATAGTGGGATAGTGAAGTTAAGCCACAGTACCGACATGGTGTAGCCACAGTACTGACTTGGTGTAGCCACAAACCTTGAAGGAGCTGGAGAGTAACGCTTCCCTTTGATTTACCCAAATCCTCTTTTATGGAGAACCTATAAGTGGGGAGACAGTTTCTTCTCAGTTTGTGATGGTTGTTGCATTGGTGTTGGATGCTCAGGGAAGATTTTAGCCAATAAAAATTCTGTAGACAACAGTTTCCTTCCAACTGGTAGAAAACTACTGTTTGCATCTTCAATTTATCTAATTCCCCCAAATCCTAATTCCAATAGGGAATTTATACAATTTGATTCCTAACAAAGCAAAATCATGAATATATCAAATTTGGCATCTTACCAATTTAATGGATTCCTAATATTTTTAAATAGCATATATCATTTCAATACTTTATAAAATTGTTGGGGGATAAATTGGCCGAGTCTCTATTTTCTTTAAAAAAATTCATAACAAAGAAGTACTTTGCATTTACTTTATATTAGTTTTACTTTTAGGACAAAATTATATTGACTGAATTCTTAAAGTATTTGATTAATTACAGAAAAAAAAATGTATTAGAAAACTTTTCTTTGTCCTTTTTCCCTCTGGACGGTTCCTGAGATTTTTATTACTTACTATTAAAGGACTTAATTTATTTTTCATGGCCCATCACCAATAACCAAGATAGTATCCAGTTTCCTAATTCTGAACTCTGCCTTGAGTAACTTCCAAACTAAATAAAATGAAAGTGTCTGAGGCAGTTTGTGTTTATACACGGTGGCAAAGTTTACTTTGAGCAACATGGATCAATGCTCTGAGAACACTTCCGCATCTGCTCAGGCTGCTTCTGAGCTCGCTTCCGATGCCCCGGGCAGAGGCTTGGACCAAGCGTGAGTTTTCAGGGCTGAGCAAAGCAAGGGGCTGCAGACACAAAGGGGCTAAGGCTCGGTTTCATAGTTAATGGTCGCCCCACAATAAGCTCCTACAGCATGATGCACTGTGTCTCTAGAGGAAAAAAGTGTTTTTTTTTTTTTCTCAGTGGATTTCAAAAGAATGAAGTCACTTGTTGTGTCACTGATGTGCACGACTCCACTGTGCAAGGGCGTTGTTCTGATGCCATCGATTGCAAAAAGGATAGTGCAATCGCATACTTCAAAAGCGTTCTGAATCTCAGTCTCCTCCTTGTAAGCAAGTGTGGGAGAGAGATTAGGATGGAGCATGCTCTCTGGGTCATCTCTGAGAATGAACCCCTAGCAGGGTCAGGGGACAGTCTTTCTCACTTCCTTTGAATATCAGTGTTGTCTAGTGTCCCCTATATGCCTGGTACACAGTGAACATTCAGAAAGGATTTCACCAGTGAATGGGTAACCCGGTGTATTTTATAGACTAAACCAGGCTAAATATGCAGGGAACCAGTGTTTGGCTTAATACCTAGACATCATTCTGTCAATATTTTCCAATAAGTCTATTTTTCCAAATGTTTTTTCCATTCTGGTCAGATTAGTTGTAGAAAATTTCCTTATTCCCCTGATGCTCTTATAATTTTAAAAAGCATATTCTTTTTTAGATCATTTCAAAATGTTTTTCACTGAGCCCCAAATTTGGCTATTTTGCATGACTTAATGTGATACACATAATTGAAACATCAGAGCACATGTAGCTTTCTATTATTTTATTTATTTATCTATTTATTTTGTATTTTTGAAAGAGGGTCTTGCTTCGCAGTTCAGGCTGGCCCTGAACTCATTTTGTAACCTAGGCTGGCCTTGAACTTGCAGCAATCCTCCTGCATCAGTCTCCCTAATGCTGTGATTACAGGCATGCACCATCACATCTGGTTCATAGCTTTCAAAGTTCAGGTGAAACGGGGTTGAAACAGATTTAGTCAAGCAGAGATACTAAGCCTCAGAGGACCATTTACCGTGACTGTTCCAGGGCTAATATTCAGCTCCATCTGGGAGGGGTTATGAGACTTACAGGCAAACGTCCAAGTTATCATCTTTTTAAAATTGTTTGGCAAAGTTCTTCCAAAACAATCCAAGACAAAAATCTGGTCTTGGGTGACTAGTGATTTTTGTCAACAAGTTCAGTCTTTTCTATACTCTCCATGGTCCTATGAATGCAAAAGACAACAGTTAATACGCCAAGATCACTGTTTTGTTCCTCTGAATATTCATCTCCCTGGTGAATTCATTTGGTTTTAATCTAGTCCATCAAGTAGTTATTTAGATTAAATTCTATTAATTCTTCCCCCCTACTCTTAAAAATTAATTATACCGATTAGTAAGCTTCATTTGGGCAGTTTAGTATGTGCACATATCACATCTTGATCATTTTTACCCCACCACCACCCTTGCCCCCCACTCTCCCAGTTTCTCATTTTTGAGAGGGATTTTTTTGTTTGTTGATTGGTTTGTTGGTTTTGTTTGTTTGTTTGTTTGTTTGTTTGTTTTTTTGGTGCTGGGAATCTAACTCAGGACCTTGCGCTTGACAGGCAGGCACTTGTGCCGCTGAGCTATATCCTGGGCCTTTTGGTAGGGTTTTAAGGCATATATTTTGCTGGTATCCATTTCCCCATACCTGCTCCCACCCTATTCCGCTCCCTCTTACTCTCTTCCTCTTGTCTAATAACAGTCTCCTTTCTACTTTCTCTCTGTCTGTTTTAGATTCCACCTCTTAGGGAGAACACGTGACATTCATCTGAGTCTGGCTTATTTTTCTCAACATGACATTCTCCAGGTCCGTCCATTCTTCTTGCATACGATAGAGTTGGTTCGCCCTTTTCACTGAGTAACATTGCATTGTGTAAATATTCTTTTCTTTATCCATTCATCGGTTGATGGATACCTATATCTTGATCTTGGTAATGTGGCTTGTGGTATCTCTAAGGCATGCAGATGTTAACATACCAAGGAGTGTCATAGCTAGTTCAAATGGTAAGTTCTATTTTTAATTTTTTGAAGAATCTCTATGTTGATCTCCATACTATTTACATTTCAAGCAGCAGTAAAGAAAGGTTCCTTTCTCACTGCATCCTTACCAGAATTTATTATCATTTGCATTGTTGATCATGGCCATTTGACTAGGTTGAGATGGAATTTCAGTGTACTTTTGATTTTTGTTTCCCTCATGGCTAAAGATGAATATTTTCTCATATACCTCTTGGTCATTTGTACATCTTTCAAAGGTGTCTGCTCAATAAATTTATGTGCCCATTTGTAGGGTGGGCTGTTTAATTTCATTTTTGGGGGGAGATTTTTTTTTTTAGTTTTTTTCTGTATTCTAGATATTCATTCTATGTGAGAAGAGTAGCTGGTGCAGATTTTCCCATTCTATAGGCTACCTCTTCACTCTGTTAGTTGTCTCCCTTGCTGTACAGAAACTTTTTAATTTGATACAGGCCCATTTGTTAAGCTTTGCTGTTTTTTCTATCCTGCTGGAATCTCCCATTTCAAAGTTTCAACGCTTATTCCTTGCTCTTAGTTCATTTTGTAATGGTTGGTGTACAGGGTGAGAGAGGGGGACCTAGCTTCAGTCTTTTACAAGTGAATTATCCCATTTTTCTAGCATCATTTATGAAAGAAGTGTTTTTTCTCCACCAGACATTTTTGACTCCTTTGTCTAGAATCAGACCGTGTAGTTGTGTGGGTTTGTTTCTGTGTCCACTATTCAGTTCCACTGGTCTATTATCTTTTTGAACCTCTGCCATGCTCTTACTATAGCTTTGTAGTATAGTTTGAATCAGGTATATTGATGCCTCCAGCCTTGCTCCTCTTTTTAGCTATCCTGAGTCTTTTTTGCTTCTATATGAAGTTTAAAATATTTTTTCTACTTCTGTAAAGAATGGTATTCTAATGTGAAGTGCATTGAATCTGTAGATCAGTTTTGTTAATACAGTCTTTTGACCATATTGGTTCTACCAACCCATGAACCTGGGAGATTTTTCCATCTTCTGATATCATCTTTAATTTTTTTTTTTTTTTTTTTTTGTGCCAGGGATCGAACTCATCACCTCACATTTGCCAAGCAGGAACTTATGCCACTGAGCTAAACCCCCAGCCCTAATTTCTGTATTCAGTGTTCTGAATTTTTCACTGTAGAGGTTTTTCACCTCCTAAGTTAGATTAATCCCTAGGTATTTTATTTTAATGGGAGCTTTTTCCCCCATGAACTAAGTCTATTACTGGTGAAGAGTGAAATTGTTGTTCCTTTAAATGTTGACCTTATATCCTGCTGTACTGCTGAATTTCTTTACCAGTTCTAAAGTCTTTTGGTAGAGTCTTTAGTATCTTTTTAATATAGAATCATATTACCTACAAAGACAATTTTACTTCATCCTCTCCTACTTATATCCCTTTTATTTTTTCCCTTACCTAATTACTGTAACTCAAATTTCAAGAAATATGGTGAATAAGACTCCAAGAGTAGATATCCCTGATTTGTTCCTGAAAATTCCAGTATTTCTATTTGCAGAATGTAAAGAATGTCTAGACTTTAGATAAGTGTCAAAAAATTAGATTGTGTGATTCTTCCCTGCAAGAGGGAAATACCTTTTTCCAAAACACTAGTTACTCATATTCAAAGAAGAAAAGGATAGAAAAAATTAACATGACAAATTAAGAAAAATACATTTTGTAAAAAAGTTATTGTCTGAATTGGTTGAATATTATATGCTTATTAATCCAGACAAAATGGAAAATTCCTGGGGGGGGGCATGATGGCATATGCCTGAAATCACAGCACTCTGAGAGGCTGAGGCAAAAGGATTGCAAGCTTAAACTCAATGTGGCTAATGTGCCAACTTACCAAGACCCTGTACAAAAATAAAAAATAAAAAAAGTGGGGATGTAGTTCCATGAGAAGGCCCTGGATTTAATCACACACAAAAAAGCCATGAAAGAGAGAAAGAAAGAAAGAAAGAAAGAAAGAAAGAAAGAAAGAAAGAAAGAAAGAAAGAAAGAAAGAGAGAGAGAGAGAGAAAGAAAGAAAGAAAGAAAGAAAGAAAGAAAGAAAGAAAAGAAAGAAAGAAAATTCCTAACTTCTTACTCTTCAAGTTTAGAAACATTTGCCCCCCACCCCACTAATGTTAGGACCAAATTGGCGAGACAAGGAGAATGAATAGCTGATCACATCTAGAAACAGAAGAAATAGGTTTATAACCACATTCACTTTTCCCTATGAGCAAACATGGGTAAGGTGTCTACATTGTTTATTGAATCAAGTAGAATATTGGCATGTTTTATTTTAAGTGAAGTAAGTGAGCATAACATTTCACAACTATAAAATTTGACATTTTAAGAATGATGTAATGTTCAAATTGATATCCAATTTCAACATTCACTAGCCTTATCCAGCATTTGAGTATTAAATGCATTACTTTGTCAAATATTACTTGACTGAAAAGCTAACTTCTCGTCCACTTGTTTAAAATGCAGGACTAGGAAAAGAGACTGAATTAAGTATTGGATTTTTTTCTTCAAGTCTGTGTCAAATATTATGAGGCCTTATTATTTCTTTTCCATTCCCCCTGAGCGATTCTCTTGTACTAAACCCAGCATTGCCTTCTGATTAGAATCTTGGTCAAGGCCAACACTATGTTGGTTTCGGAACTCTGTGTAAAGGTCCAATCCTTTTTCTTTGATTTGATTGCATCTCTGCAGCTGGAAAAATGAAGTAGACAGAAATGAAAAGTCTTGGAAGTTTTCACTCTCCTAGAGTGAACAATTGTTTGTTGGGAATTGTTCACTTGGATTCTCTTCCTGGGATGGAATGTTACATATTCCAGCTGACACATTCGAGGCAAGAAAATACATCATGATTAATTTGACAAATGACCCTAAACCCAGCACTGCTGCTTGGGAATTTTCCTTTCTAGTGCTTTGTTTATGACAAGTTTATGTACCAAATTTAAGAAAACGAAAGAAAGAATGAAAAGAAAAAGAAATTTGTTTCATTTGACCACAAGTGTGAGCACTTTGAAGTTTTACAGTATTTTTCTTTTTAAACCTGTCTCCCCCTTTCATTCTCTTTTAAACTACAGATTGACCATTTCAGCCATAAATGTTCTTTAAACTAGAGGGAAATGGGCTTGAATCTAAACTACTGCCAAGTCTCCTCTATTGCTGGTAATTTTCCTCCGTTGAAAAGAAGGTTTGGAGGAAAAAAATAAATGACACTCCTTTCACAGCTAGGAGGGCAGATGATTCACCCATGCATCAACAAGTAAAATCAGGACTCTGTGTGCTTACACACATGTACATACATGTACTCATGCACACACAAATTGTTATGCATTATGAATATACTATATCATATATATATAAAACTTTGGCATTTTGACCAACTTGTGTACTCTAGAGACTTTAAATGCATTCACATTATTAGACAACATACATAATTATCCATTTCCAGAACTTTTTGATTTTATCAAATTGAAACTATATATTCATTAAATAATAACTACCTTGTTAAATAATAACAGCCGCTGGCAACTACCATTCAATTTTCTGTCGTTTGGAATTTGACTGTTCTAGGGCTTTCATATAAGTTGTATACTATTTGTCCTTTTGTTAAGGCTTAACTTACCATGACAGGTTCAAGATACACCCAGGTCAAAGCACTGCCATAATTCCATTTTGTGCAAAGTTAAATATTTCATTTTATGTACAAGTAAGGTAGCATGCTTTGTTTACCCATTCATCTGCCAGTGGCCGTTGGGATGCTCTCTTGGCTGTTGTGAATGATGCTGAGAATCAGTGCACAGACATCTCTTTCAGACCCCACTTTCAGTTCTTTTGTCTACTTACCTAAAAAAATGCATTGCAAGATGATGCAGTGAGTCTATGTTTAAGTTTTAAAAATTTTCCAAAATGTTTTCCACAGCTGCTGTGTCATTTTACATTCCTACCAGCAATTGATTAGGGTTCTGATTTTTCCAGATCCTCACCAACACTTATCTTTTTAAAAAAACTAAAAGATCTCCCACCATGAGACCATAACATTAAATGAAATAAGACACAACAGCTTAAATATTGCATAACTTCTCTTATATGAGAAACCCAAAGTATAAATAATTTTTACAAAATAAAAGACAATAAGGAACAGGGAGATATATCTTTTGCAAGTGTATCTGGAGATAGAGGCAGGAGAGAGGGAGGAGAGGGAAAGGGATACAGAAAGAATTAAGATATGCTAAGTACACTACCTATTTCCTAAGATGAATGTCAATGATACGTACTGCAAACTGTAATGAGAGGAAATGCTGTACCCCAAGTACTGCCCTCTTACCTATGAATTTTTACCATTTTGAAGACCATATTTCGAAGGAAGAAAGATAGTGTATTCTGTTTGTGTTTTCTTACAACCACAAGTTTTGGTTAAGCTGGCAGTTATTTTGTTCATTGAGAAGACATAATTAATAGGGCTTTCAGCTTAATCCATCAACCAGTCTTCCTGGAACCCCTATTTCTACTCCTATTTATAGAGAGCCACAATCTCTAATTCTATTCATTAAAACTCCTGTTACTTCTTGTGATGAGCAAGTAATGTGAAAAAGTGAATTGGACATCTTCCAATGTGTTTGATAAAATGTCTAAAGGATTGAGATCAAAGTGAGTTTCATTCCACTACGTGGATTGCAGCATTTTCATTTCCTACTTTACTCTCTGGGGTTAGATGCAGTCTATGCAGAAGAATGGTTTGATATTCTTACAAATCATTTGAAAACCCTCATTCTTAACACTCCCACTACACTGAAAAATATTTCAAAAAAAGGGTCAACTCACCTGACCACAGACTATTTGTTATCTGACTTTCTTCCTTGTTTTCACTATGGGAGGTTGTACCAGGGCCCTTACACTGAGCTACATCCCCAGATCTTTCTACTGGTGTGTGTGTGTGTGTGTGTGTGTGTGTGTGTGTGTGTGTGTGCGTGTGTGTGTGTTTGAGCCAGGATCTTTCTAAGACACTGAACCTGATCTTGAACTTGCAATCCTCCTGCCTGTCTTCCAGAGGCCAGGAAAGGCCCTCAATGCCATACTGTACCCCAGGAACAGTACATGTGCCATCCTCAGGGAAGAGTATATTACCTGTCAAAGTAAAGCAAAAATGTAGCTGTCCTAAGAATTCAGATAGTCTAACCACAAACATTTATGCTGTATACCTATGTATTTTTTTCATATCACATCTTAATGGCAACCATTATCTCATTTATGTATTAATGTATTGCCTATGGCAGATACCAGAGCATAAACTCCTGAAGAGTAGACACTGTCTATGAAGATCATAACTGAAATGGTGCAGAGTGGGTGAAAGATCTTGAATAGAATATGTACAGACTCCAGGAAAACATGTTAATAAATCAATAGTAACACCTTTATTGAGGTGATAACAAGCCACAGAAATGACAGATTGGGTCTCTGGCTAAAGCATCACTGTCTAACATGGTAGCCACCAGCCTGGAGGTTAAGTACCAGAAATGGGGCTTGTCTGAGTAGAGATACTGTATTTGTAAAATACACCCCAGGTTTTGAAGATCTGATATAAGAAAATATAAAATATTACATACATGATTTTATATAAATTACATATTGAAATGATACAGTTTTAGATATATTGGATTAAATAGAATATATTCAAATTAACTTTAATTTCTTTTTTCAACTATTTTTAATGTGGCTACTAGAACATTTAAAATGGCATGTGTGACTTGCATTGTATATTTAAGAGCAAGTGCCTGACTAACCAACTAGTCATTATTAATCTGATTTTTGCTTCACAGTCTAGTTTATTTATTTTTATGCTGTTAGTTATTGAATCCAGGAGTGCTCTAGCACTGAGCTACATTCACAGCCCCTTGTGTTTTTTAATTTGAAGACAATGCCTTGCTAAATTGTCTGGGCTGGACTTGAATTTGTAATCTTCCTGGCTATACTGCTAGAATAGTTGGGATTATAGCAAGGCACCACCACACCTGCTGGATTAATTTTGATGTTCTTAACCCCCCCCCACACACACACACAAACACGACATCACATACACACACTCAACAGGATGACTGGACTTATCTTGACTTACCCTAATCCCCTAACAGCCCTGGTAGGTACCCATATATTCCCTCAGCTCAGATCATTCTATTCCTGGGCATCCTGAGAACAGTTACAGATCTTGAGATTTCCATCTCTGCTTTAGTAGTTCAGAGGATGTTTTGTTCATATACAGCAAAGGCCTGTCCCTGAGAGCACTGCATGCCCACCAGGCACCTCTAGAATCCAGTGCAATCTACAGTTTATGATGGATTTAGAGGCATAGACCTGATACCAGCAGAATGCTCTCAATCAGGGCCTAAGGCAACACTATGACTTTTTATAGGGAGAGGATGCCACTGGTGAGGCGGAGAGGGAGGAAGAAGAGAGACAACAGGACACAAATACTGCTAAGCTGCTCCTATGCATCCAGCTCTTCAATAGTTTAAGCACAACTTTCACACATTCCTTGGCTAGCTAGAAGATCACGATCAATTTCTAGCATGTAGATTTGCCTAAAATATTTAAATTGACGAAGTTGCACTGATAAAACCTGAGTTAAAAGTGAAATAATGAATGAGTTTCTAATTCAAGATTTAAGGTGAACTCACAACCACTGAGTTAGGACTTGCAAGCTCACACCAGGAAGGCCAGACACCTCATTTGTAAATGGTCAGGGAGATTCTGCAGAATAGTCAGGACCCTCCCCCATTAAATATGCTTTCAAACGCAAGACAAAGAAATTTTCAAAAAGATTTTCTTCTTTTTATTACAGCAAAGAAATACAAGGATTGGCTCACTCCTTGATACTTCTGAAATGAAAAACAATTCTCATTTTTATTACTAGGTGCCATTATCAACATTATTGTCATCTTCATAGAACATTTATGATCTCCACCATTTTTCACTGATTTTGGCTTCCTTTCCCTTGGGAAAAAATCTTCCTCCTAACAACCCTTAAAGTATTTGAGGACAGATTCATGTTCTCCAAGTCTTATTTCCACGGCATCCTGTTTCCTTCAGCTCTTCCCCGTCTGACATGGTTTCATACACTATTAACAACTTAGTGTGAATAGATCCCTACTACGAATCTACAAATTTTTGGGGTTTTGTTCTTTTTAAGTGTGATGACTACAGTCAAACATAGTGCACTGGGTCTGTTAGTGGATTGAAACTGCCTTGTCACTTATGACAGATTGCTTTTGTCAATTTGAGTCCCTGGATGTTTACTCTGGTTCTCACTGAAGCTTTACGCTGGTCACTGGGAATTTCTTCAGGTTTTCACGAAGCCCTCTAACAATAGGTCTGAATAAGACAATTTAATAATTGCTCCTTCACTACAGATAATGTTTCTCAACCCACACCCTATGTGGCCCATGGCTATGGAACTCCCACTTAAAAGAGACTTACAACTGTGACTTCTTTTCATATTGGAACTTTGGTGTGTATAGGTCAAGTCTGCAAAACAACATCAACTTTCTCATTAGGTAAGTGTTATTTATTCATCTCTGAAGGCCTGCTGCAAGTGTATGTTCTGTAACAAGTGTAATGTGTTTATGAACATGTGCATAATAAATTATTGGAAATAACTGTTTTCATTATATTCCTGTCAGCTCTGTTAAAAATATTTAGGTGTTTGATTGCATGGTGGTTTGCCAAAGTAGACCTTCAGTGATGTTTAAGGGAAATTGTGGAAATCCTAAAGACCCTGGATTGTGGAGACTCCTGAGAATGAAGCAAGTCTGGGAAATATTTAAGGTATCATTTCATTCATTTGTGGAAAGGTAGGTAAGAGACTTGTCCACATTTCTTACAAGCAAGGTCAAAGACCAAGACTAATACAGAAGAAAAGTGAGAAACCACCCTAGTGCACAGAATTTCAGTCTTCAGTCAAGACAGAGCCATTTATTTATTAAAGGCTCCTGTTGAAACCTCCTGCTCCACATTTGCTTTATGCTAGTTTTCACTTTGAGAACTGATATTTATCATAGCTGGTCTCCCAAGTAAAAGACCTGCCACTTCTGTCAACCTGTCCACACATTAAAGCTCTCCCTTATCCTGGCCAGGAAGGATTCTCTAACATCCTTCATATTTGACCCCTAATTCTTCTGAGAAAGAACTTGATCTTAAGATGCATTGCAAAACACTTGAATGATACTCTTTTGAATGACAAAGTTTATGAAAGTGCCACTTGGAGCAATAAATTTATTTTTTATTTTTATTTTAAAAAGAATAAAACCAAATGAGAAATAAAAGCAAAATGGGGTCATTCAGAACAAAGGGATGTACATAGTACATAATTTAAAACCACAATACAAGGTGATCTACAATGTACTCTGATGTCTCTTGTTATCTTCAATAAAATTGCCCATATCATCAGATACAATAAAATTGAATATAGCAATACAGAACAAAATCAATAAAAACAAAACATTGGAGACATTATAGGACTTCAAAAGAGGGTAATAGTCAAACCAGAATGGGTATCATAGTGAATCTTACTGTCTTCAGAGTAGTTGCCTATACTCTCAGACTTGAGACTATCAAACATAACAGATTCGAATAAAATCAGTCAGGACAGACAGTGATCAAACGAAACAGTCAAATAAAATCAGTCAAAACCAGGCAGTGAAAGCAATACAGGTTTTCAGATTAAGTTAATAGGAAATTAAAAATGGTTACCGTAGTATATCCTGCTGTCTTTAGAATAGCGGTCTATGCCCTCAAATCTAGTTCAAGTAGACAAATCATGATACAAGGTTACCAATGTCCTCTACCTTCCCTATTTAGACAATTCCTCCCCTTTCACTTCCACAGGGTGCATTGTACATTTTGTATTCCACAAACTCCTTTGTTTTTAGATTAGGGAGACAAACCACTATTTACCAAAGTGGTTCTGAACCTTTTTACCCCTGAGCTTGGTCTCAAGTTGTATCCATTTACCTACAAGAGCCTCAAGGTTTTCCTTCCTTATAGCTGAGTATTTCTCTATTGCATAAAAAGTTATATCTGAGCTGGGAATTTGGCCCAATAGCATAAGCAACTGCCTGGCAAGCACAAGGTCGTGAGTTCAATCCCCGGTAAAGCATTATATCTTTCCAACCAATCTGCAGCTGATGGGTGAACCACCCCCACTTTCTTTCTGGTTCTCTGTCACATAGAGCATTATTTTCTCATCTTTGACTTCCAGTCCTTAAACCTTCTTTCAGGTTGAATATATTTCTTATATAGAGCATCTTGATGGACGCTATCTCCTGATCCACTCTGTCTGCGTTTCTTTTTATTAGTGTATCCAGGCCATCCATGTTGGTCATTATGGCCAACTTTCTCTGCCTTTTCACTGCCATGCTACTTGTCTGCTGTTAGTTGTCTACTTTTCCTCTTCACTGTCTTCCCCATTCAGTGAGCCTCTTCTGTTGCTGTTCTTGAAATTACGGTCTTTTTTCTCTCTGTCTAGAATGTCTTTCAGTATTTTTTGTAGGGTTGGATTGATGGTCACAAATTCCCCCAGTTCCTTTTCATCATGGAATCATCTTGTTTCTTCATTAATTTTGAGAGATAGTTTTTCAGTGTACATCAGTCTGGGAGGTTATTTTCTTTCAGGGCTTGAAATACTTCACTCCAAGCTCTTCTTGATTTGACAGTTTGTGTCGAGAAGTCTGTTGTGATTCTGATGGGTTATTTTTTATAGGTGATCTGTTTCTTTTCTCTGATACCTTTTATATTCTGTTCTGTTGAATTTCTGAGATCTTGATTATATGTCTGGGTGTAGATCTACTTTGGTTATAGCTGGATGGAGTTCTGTATGCCTCATATATCTGTATATCATTTCCTTTTCCTATGCTTGGGAAATTTTCTTTAATTATTTCTGTAAATAACCTTTGTATTTCATTTGTGTTATCCCTGCTTCTTCACTCACATCTTTTATTAACTTATAGATCCTCTTGTCATCTTCTAGTCTTTGTATTTTTACTGCCTATTTCCTTGTTATTTTTAAGAGATCTTTCTTTTCACGATCGCACATTGCAAACCTGTCTTCAAGGTTTGATAGTCCATCTTTAGTTTCTTTCTAGCAGTTTTGCCAGCTTTCAATGGAGTTTTTAATTTCCTGGTAGTCTCTTTGAATCTGTTTCATGTATCTAGATTTTTTTATATTCTTCATTGAAGGTTTCTTTCCCTTTTCTATGTCCCTCCATTCTTCCATCTGTGTCTTCTTGAGAGATACTTAGCATTTCTTTTATTATCTTTCTTAGATCTTCCTTCACTTGTATTAGAATTTCTGTTTTTAGTTCTTTTATAGTATCATGAAGATAATTCTTTATGTCAGATGCAGCTTTTTCAAACACTGTGGGTGTGCAATCCCCAAACTTCTGTGTTTACCTCCCCCAGGCTAGTGGTGTTTGTGTTTAGGGATGAAGATTTTCTTTTGCTTCCTTCTCTTGTGATGTTTCTGTTTTCCTTCAGACAAATAGACAGTGAGGGTCCTCAGCACTTCCTGTATTACTCTAAGGCATGCTGGCTAGGGATTGCTGTCCTTCCTAGTCTGTTGATGATTACTGAAGTACAAGCAGGAGTGGGGCAGACTGGCCCCTCCCTTCTGAGCTGATCAAGCTCTAGGAGTCTTCACCACATTAGTGTGTGATGCATGGATGGGGCCTGTTAGGGATAGTTTCAGGGAGACCTTGTCCTTTGCTATTGGATCGTGCACAGGGGTGGGACTCAGTCTGAGCAATTCTCACCAATCTGCTGTCTGCTAGGAGTGGCTGAATGAAGCTGGCTGCAGTTCTGGTTCCAGGCTTGTCCTGCCTGACTCCAAAATGTCACCCAGCCAGTTGCCCACTCCCACTGGAGGACTAAGTTCCTTGCACTCACTGTGAGCCGATACAGATCTCCAAGCTGAATGCTGCTCTCTGCTCCACTGCTTCCCTACGCTATCGCTTCCTCCTACTAAGGCCCTCACACTTGTCAACCCTCCACTACATGGCAACCACGCATCTCCAGATTCCAGCAGCATTTCATACACAATGGGACTGGCTCTGGTGAGAGCGCATCTGGCTACAGCCTTCTGTCCATGATTTTCTTTTCTTTTCTCTTTTTCTTTCCCTTTAGCTTCTTCCTGGGTTGAAAGGAGCCATCGCCCTCTGTCCAGTCTTCTCTAGGATGTTTTATTCCAGCATCTGAGCTGTTTCTCTAAGAGATGCTCTGTAGTTTGCGGCTTACTGATCGACCATCTTCCCCAGAACAGCAATAGATTTATTGATACTACAAATCAATCCTCAAACATACAAAATTACCTAGAAATTTTGCCTTTATGTTCTATAGCAGAGATGAAACTTGAGTAATTACAGTTGTGCTTTTCTGCTATTTGGAAAAAACTCAAGTATTCCACACCTCACGCCCAGACCATTGCAATAACCTAATCTTGGTTTGCTCGCCTTGCCTCTAATTTTCCCCAGTCTGGCCCATCCTCCACCACGGTGCCTAGGAGCACTGCAGCTATCCCTCTTCATTACTTTATACAAGTTCCTCAGGCTTTCTGGGCCCTCTAGAGACCCATTCCAATCTCCCACAACTTTCTTAACCACTTTCCCTTTAACCACTTTGGCCCTTCATAGCTATTTTAGTCACTTTTCTGACACATAATACCCAACACCCACAATTTAAAGGAGAGATTTATTTTGGTTAATGGATTTTAGAGATTTCAGTCTCTGATTGCTAGCTCTAAGGCAGAAACAGAATCATTGAAAGGCCTGGGGAAAACCTGCTCACATTATGGTAGCCAGGATGCAGAGAGAAGTGTGGAGCCAGGGGGAGGTACACCCTTCTAGGTCATGGCCCAAGTGACCTACATCTAACCAGACCCCACCTCTTAACAGAATACTCATTAGTATTGTTAACCTCATTAGTGAGTGAGTCCACTGATAAATATAACACCCTCATCTAATCACCTTTCAAAGCTCTTCTCCTGAGTGCATGAGAGGTTTGATGGGCATTCTGGGTTTAAACCATAGCAGTAGGTTTTCAAAGGTAGCATAATGTTCCATCTCCATATCTACAAGCATAAGTAGAAGTGTATTGTTTTTCTTGGTCTACATTGTCCCTTTCCTTCAAAGCCTGGCAACTTTCCCCAGCTCCTTAACTATGAACATGATCACACTGAGGTTCCAACACATGAATTTTGGAAGAACAGTCACATTCAAACCTTGGCATACTGGCACAGTCAAAAGTCAGATTGGCCCTTGCTTCCATCCTTGGCATCCTTCCTTTTGTACTCCATGCTTGTCTTAAACCATGACTTAAATTCTAAAGACAAATCTCAAAGTAAGGCAAGAGATACTAATAATCCATCAGTTCCACTATCTGAAACTCATTTACAAATGACCATTGCTGTTCATGACCCTACTGCATGCAACAGTATGATTCTTGATAAACTTTTTGTGCAATTTGGAAAAAAGAATAAGATGGGACAATGTTAAAAGCAACTCGGTCCTATATTCTAGTTCTGGTAACTTTAGCAAAGTCTGTGCTGTTTTGTTTCAATTTATTTATATGACTGGAAAGGAAGGATAGCTCAGGCTTGGTATTTCTCTGGACTTCCTTCAAGCTTCACGAAACCATTCATGAGGAAGAGCTTTATAAATTAAAAGGATCTCCATTGGGTCACATAACATGAAGATGGTGATTCCTGACAGCATCAATAGAAAGAAAAGGAACTCACATGTCATAAATCTATTGAGTACACAATAATTTCATAGGCATATCAGTTCTTATAATTAGTAACTTTTCAAATGTCTATTTAAGCATATTTGTTAAGATCTCTTGAGAGTTATCTCAGGGCAACTATTTCTTTTGTAACTCTTGTTCAGCAGACATAGTTAAAGACATTATTTTTATACAACAAACATTATTTTTATACAACAAACTAAAAAGATTCATTAAAATAATTTAGATATTAGTCTCAGAATAACAGATTTTACACGATGCCTTCAAAATAACCAAATGACAGAGAAGGAATTTTAATTGTCAACCATCATAGTAATATTACTATTTACTATTTTACAGGCCACCTGGGATACAGTTGATCACTCACTGGTCTTTAAAACTTTATGAGATGAAGTTGCTATTTTCTTGGTGAAGTTCTTAAACCAGAACATTGGAGGAAAATCCACAAGTTTTGAGACAGAACTAAAAAAACAAAAGTCAAGGAGCTCTCTGAGTAAGCTTATGAATTTTCTCACTCTGCAAATAAGTCTCAGATTTTGTTTCAGTTTTATTTTTAAATTTTGCATATTCCTGTTCTGATAACTGAACTTGACTTTCCTCATCTAGAAAGTGGGAATAGCAAAACTCTCCTCATACTTGTTTGCTTGTTATTAACCTTTTTCCTCTGAAAAAAACAAAAAGAAAAGGTGACTAGAAGATCAGAGGCTGTCAGGGTACACACTGGAGTCTTGAGGGATCTGAGAAGTTTGTGCTTTACTTCTTGTGTCTTTAGAGGACCAAAGAGAGCTTAAATCTGATCCTTAAACATTCGTTGGAGAAACAACTTCAAATATTGTTCCGGATAGAACAATATCAAATAAAGGCAAAATTTGACATGCACGAGGCATGTTTTCAGTTCCTCCCCCTTCCAAATCTCATGTCCCTTTTTCATCCTGAGACGGTATCCTTTCTTGGACATCCACTGCCCTTTGGCAGCTCATGGGTATTCTGGGCCAGACCTTTCTCCTCTGAAGACACCTCGTGGCCCAGGCTAATCTCTCTAATCTCCCAGACGTCTTCAGCATGACTTTCTTAATATGAATCCACCTTTAGTTCTTAAAGAGAAGCTGATAAGGCAACTCACTTAGGGGTTAAGTAATTAGGAAGGGTTTTGAAGTTTTCCCTATCCAACCGTCTCTGCAGTTCCTCTTGCAGGAAATTTTAAGACTAAGGCACCACTAAGGAGTTTTTCCTAACCCCTGTCCTAACAGAAATGTAAAATGGTTTTCTAGTTGCCAAAGAGACAAAGCGATCAACTGCCAAACCTTTCTCACCAGTGTTGCACTTCACCTCATTAATTGCCACCCCGAGCAGCCAGCTCAGAAAAGCTTTCTGAGATCTTGACAGGGTTTGGGAAGATCCCATTACTAGGCTTCACAAATGACCTCTTGGGATATTTCAGGCTTACAAAAAAGGAGGTGGGGAATACACTGGTACAGAAATGCTCTTTAAGGCAATAAATTGAAACTTATCTGCCTATAGGAGACACACACTGCACCGAAAGTGTTTCTTCTGCTTTTCTCTTATTCTATGCCAAGCAACTCAGATATTTCCAGTTAAAAAAAAAATCCTCAAAAACTGCAGGTGGTATAGTAAAGTCCCCAATAAACAAAACCATTCAGGTACACAGGTGCCTATCTCAAAGTGCCTCCCAGCAGTCACAGTAGAGGATGGAGGCCAGATGCAAGCTTCCCAGGCTGGCTCTGGCACTGGAAACTCTAAGCAAACCAGGTAAAATGTGTAATCCTCACTGCATTCCAGGGGAAAGGTTTTCAGTCGTGAAGACATTGTAACAAGGTCCGTAGCAGAGGCACAATGACTTTGTGAAAGGCAAAGTGTGTCCTGGAAGGCCAGCAGATACAAACCAAAAAAAGATTTTCTAAGTACACTCAGCAGAAAGGCCTTATCATCTGTCACATTCTGATATTTTCAGCCACACTTGCGTACAAGGATAACCGCAGTGTCAACAATATCATCCCTGACTACAAAGGACAACAGTGACAAATCTCAGGGCCCTTTGAATTTGAAGATAGCATTGTCAACTACTGTGCATGCCAGATTTTTTATTGTCAACAGGGCTTCTCGGGTTATTTATGCCTGCAAAGACTTGTATTATTAGATCACCCCTCTCTTTTAGCTGCTTCTCCGAAAGTGAGACTGCTGTCAGCAGGAACATGTTCTACATTGCCTATGCGACCATAGAAATTGGCATTCCCAAACTTGAGCACTGGGCCTATCACTCTTTTAACCTTGTTCCACTTTAGACTGTCTCTGTGATTCCTTTGGGATCTTATCAATGACACAAAATGCTATCTCACTCTTCATTCTGGAAACTCTGAAAATCTTCCAAAAGAATAAATCACTCTCTGAGACTTCGTAAATGCCTGGTTCCAAAGTATTCCTGCAAGAATTTTTGAAGAACCTGCACAAGGAGGCTATTGTACGCATATACAAATAAATGACACAATCCAATGGCTTAATACTATCTGCCAAGTTAAACTACCGCGGAGCAGCTGTGCACATTTAAAATGATGCCTGGCACAACTGGAGAGCCATAAATCATCAGCTGCATACTTTCATCCAATTAAGAGAGTAAAATAAGAAAGAATCCACAAACCAAGAAGCGTCTAAGGACATGGATAAAATCTTCATTCCTCTCTGAGTGCAAAAATAAATAAAAATAAATTCTCATTTTGCTAATGCTAAAACTAGAATTTCTTTTTTGAGGGATACAACATTTACAGTGGCATAAATTCTCGTTCTTCAGAAGGTTATTTCAGGCTCATTGCTTTGTCTTTCTGTTAACAATAGTGTAAAACAGAAATGATGACTTACCTTGAAAAAATAATTGATTTTAAAAAGAAGTAGGTGAGTAAACCAAGATTCTAAGACTTTCCTGAGAAAATTACAGCCAGGTTATAGGTTTAGGGGCTGTGTCTGTGCAGTTAATCCTTTTCTTCTGGTTTCTTCATCCATAGCAGATGGTGAAGCCAACACATCCTTCACCCCAGCTGAATTGGCCTTGGCCACGCACCCTTGGCTACAGGAGCAGGCCACACTAAAATAAAGAGAAATAACATGGTGCCAACTTTGGTCACTGTAAAGTAGGACAACCAAACATTTTGATTTTTTTTTTTAAATGAGGGGATTTCCAAGAGTTTAGAGTAAATAGATAAATAAATAAAGTCCTAAGCAATAGTGTGGCAACTAGTGTAATAGAAAACCAAGCTTTGGGCTACTCAGGAAATCAACTATATCAAACCAACTGAAAATTCTCAGCTTTCCTTTAGCTGAATACCATTTCAATCTCAGCAGTCCAGGCCCCAGTCACCATTATGTAGATGTCCAAGATTATCCAACCAACGTCTATTCCCTGAGCTTTTGCTTTGTGCTCATTCCAGCCAATAGGACTCATTAAAAGATCAGAAAATCCTCTGTTAACTCAGAAGAAATAAGTGACTACTTCCTGTTAGCCTCAAAATCACCACTTTTAGCTACTTTCTTAGATTAATGCTTCAAATGTGCTCTCTTATGCCTCAAAGATAAATCTTAAGCAACAAAATAAATATTGAATGGCTATGAGAATATGAAAAAATATTCTGCAAATTCCAATCCCATCTGCCCTACAGGAGTCTTCAGAACACTGAGTTTGAAGTTGAGGTGTTGACTTCAGTTTTCCCATGAGTTTCATGAGGTGAAAATTAGATGTGAGGCAGTTATAGTAGTTTGAAGGACAGAAAAGGATTCTGCATTGGGGGTCAGGGGGTAACTCAGAGATTAGTGGTATGGCGCACGCTTAGCATGTAAAAGACAGTAAGTTTGATTCCCAGCACAGGAAGAGAGGGGAGAGAGAATACAAAGAGGGAGGGGAAGGGGAAGGAGAAGGGAATGAAGAAGAAGAGGAAGAAGGATAGAAAGGAAGGGAGGGAAAAAGGAAAGAAGAAGGGCCGTGTATCATCTAATCACAGGTATCTCCGCACCATGTCTCTCAGGCCATTCCATTTGCAGGAATCTGCGAGAGGCACATCTGAGCCATGGTTGCTTCTCCAAAATTGCACACCATCCCTCTAATCTATAATCTTGATGAAAATCACAGCAAAAATAAGGCAGAGCAGAGAGATCTTAAGACGACATGCTGAATTTCAGTACTGATGGGTCAAAACTTGAGGAATTAAATACAGGGACAGGCCAGGGACCAGAGTTCAGCTCCCAGGGCATTTATAAGCAAACTAATTCCTTCTATCTAATGTTTAAAACTTGTTACTCAACTTAGTAACTATTTCTCGAGTAACTACTATGTGCAAGAAGTTGAAATATGTGTGAGAAATGGACCTATAAACAAGATCTCCTCATGATATATTTCCCAAAAATTTGATGGTATGTCATGTGTTACTTGTGTTTTCTTTCTCCAAGACTTCTCAAAGACAAGAGTAATATATTTATCTCCCTAATCTCCTCATACCCAGCACAGAGTGTGACACGTGGCTACTACTCCAAAAGTTTGTGGAATGACCAACTAACTGGATAAAGTCAGCTCAGAGCCTAAAACTGTGACTTTTTCACGCTTCTTTATGAGTGAGAATAGCCCTCAACTCCAAAGTAGAAAAAACTTAGAGGTCTGCAGGTGTCCCATGTTCGCATTTGGAGTCAGGCCAGGTGAGCTTGGATTACAGGGAGATTCTTGAAGCAGAAAGTGTTAATGTGATATATATTTAGCACATGGGCTTTGCATATTTCACAGCTGAGAATAAAGTAGGACCGCCTGGCTTAGAGCACAAAGGGAGACCTTGTTATAGGAGAAAGACAAAGCAAATGTTTGAGACTGACATTCATCTTGACTAAATAAATAACATAATGAAAGTTTCTGTGTAGGAGACATTTTAAAAACTGTTTTACATGTGTCCCACATGTTGAGGTGGCATACCATCTTACTTTTATCTTAACTTCCAGGCACACTGAGCATCCTTTGGTCACCTTTCAAACTTGCCTTCATCTGGGCTAGATGTCTGTACTGGGTTGGAGAGTACAGACATCCACCTGGAGCCTGTGAAAGTGACCTTATTTGGAAATTAGTTCTTTCAGACATAACCAAATTAAGACGAGGTCATGTTGGATGAATTCAACGTGACTGGTGTCCTTATAAGGGAAATTCAGACACACAGAGGAGAAGGCCACGAGAAGATGGAGGTGGAGATTGGAGGGATGCATCTGCAAGCCAAGCAATGCCAAGGATAGTTAGCATCTCCCAGAAGCTAGGAGAGGTGAGAAGGGATGCTTCTGCAGAGGCTTCAAGGGAACAATGCCCTGCCGACAGATCTGTGAGAGAATAAAGTTTCTGTTGCTTTAAACTATTCTGTGGTGCTTCATTTTTGCAGTTCTAGGAAACTAATATAAAGCCTTTATCCTTTTCCGCCTACCTCAGCATGACTCTGTCACACCGTAGTAGATGCTCTTTCATGTATATGCCTCCCTACCCAGATCATGGTTTCTGGGAGATAAGGCATATCCCACTCACGTCAGTACCTCCCGCACCTAACACAATATCTGGCTACATCAGTGATATTAAAGTAAAATGATTGGGACATGACTGGCAATTCTAACTGTCCAACAGAATTTGAATTTGCTGTGTTAACCAAAATCCCACACTACCAATAACCCTTGTCAAAGCTATGCCCATTCTCCTAGAAATAGCCTCTACCATATTGCCACTTCTGTCAACATGAAGATAGGAAAGAAATAACAAAATATAGCAAATTAAATTTGGGATACTTAATAAAACCTTTTAGCAGGTTAAAAATCTTCCAGTCTACGTGTGTCCTACAAAGGGCAAAAATTAGAAACAGAATCCTTTATTGTAAACACGTTGTAAATGACTGACCTAAGCCACAATGTATTTAAAAAAGAAGGAAGAAAAAAAATCCATGAAAGTGTAGTGTTTACCATGTGCCAGGCAGTAAAAACAGAAACTGAGAAGTTTGCTTAAACATACCATAAAATATCATAATATATTTTCAGAAAGGCTACTAACACCTCAGAAATATTCTTCTGTAACTTTATCTAGAGAAGTCTTTAAGTTGACTAGTGGAGCTAAAAGTCACAGAAGACATGTCCATATTAGAACCTAAGAAGAAAATAGTTTTAGAAGACAATGTCATATGTCTTATTCAAAGCAAACAAAAAGAATAATTAAGGATATCATTTCCTCAAGTGGCAGAGGATCGTGCAGGAACATCTGACTGGTTGACTTAGGGCTACTTGTCCATATCCTTTGGCCAAGAGGGGATAAAAAGTTTCTACCACCCTTAGCTATAATGCACTCAGGTGCAGACCTGTCTCTACAGTGCCCCAGAGAAGTAGTCTTTTAAATGCTAGAGAACTTCCTTTATTTCTGTAATTATATATACAATATCTGCCAAAAGATGTATACATGCTTGGGAAAAAGAAAAACAGTAAATGTCTGGAAGTGAGTAGCTGCTACTTTGTGAACCTCTTGTAGTTATAGAGGCCAACAGTAACTTGTATTGATCTCACGATGTCTCAATAACTTTAGTATTAAAATATTTATACAAGTTTTTATTTTCCTAAAGTATATAAATTTTTGGTGGTCTTTTCCTCTCTCTATTCTCTCTTCTCTCCTGTTCTCCTCCTTCATTTTTCTCTCTCTCTTTCTTTCTCTCTCTCTCTCACACACACACACACACACACACACACACACACACACACACACTGTCCCTCTTTCTCTGTCTCATGTGTATGGTGTGCAATTATGTACATGTTTGCATATATAACTGATGGAACAAAATACCTGACATACAAATTTTAAAAAGGAAAGACTTATTTTTGGCACACCATTTTAGCACTTTCTGTCCATGGTCTGATGATTTCCAGGCAGAAGAATCATGGCTCAAGGGTGTGGCAAGGAAAGTTGACCACATTGTGGCAAGTAGGAAGCAGAGAGTGGGGAAGAACTGGGACATATAACCTCAAAGCATGTACCCTGTGGCCTACTCTCTTCAGCTAGGTCCCACCTCCTAATAACTCATTCAGCTATGAACTTCAAGAGTTAGTTTCCTTGCAGGCATCCCCCTTTTTTTTAGATGGGCTTTCAGTATCTCCTTTTATTGAGGAGAATTGTCCTGGGGATTGAACCCTGGACCCTGGACATGCTAGGCAAGCACTTCACCTGCCCTTTTCTTTACTTTGAGACAGGAGCTTGCTAATTTGATCAAACTGGCCTCAAACTTGGGATTCTTCTGCCTCAGCCTTCTGAATAGGTGGGGTTACCAGCGTGCACCACTGGCTCTGGCTCCTCCTCTAGGCATGTCTCAATCCAATCAAGCTGATGATCAAGATGAACTGCTATGACATCTACAAAATCCTTAATGAAAAAATAATTTATTCTTTGATCACATGGGAATACTCCATCCATGTGATCAAAGAATAAATTATTCTTTGATCTGTGTGAAGCACTGCTGTGAAGCATTCTTTCATGCAGTAATTTTGGGGACCCTAGTTTCTTCCATTTTGTGGTTATGCCATTTTCAACATATGGTTTCCAAAAAATTTATTATTTGCATTAATCTGACAAGAGGAAAAAAACAGCAGAGAAATCACTCATGGGGGCTTCCAGGGCTCAGGGCCAGAAACATCTCTAGGACTCCTTCTACAGACCTTCACAGACCATGATGGAGTCTTGTGGCCACTTCTA